CACACACACACACACACACACACTCAGATGAACTGATAGCATGGTGCTGTGAGATCTGTCCTGTGTTCAGAGATATTTTAAAGATGTGCTATAAGCTCCTTCTCCCTCCTCCCCAACATCCCGCAGAGCTTCTGGGCTTCAGGATCAAACCAGCTGAGCCACACAGGTAGGCCGCTGCTTCAGAGGGCGAAGCTAAATGTCATTGCTGAAAAACTCTTTCTTCAGTTCAGGGGTGGCCACAGAGGCCCATTTCACTGCTTAGACATGAATCTGTTTTTTTTTACTTGACAATATGGCCTAAAAAACTGAAGTTTATTCACCTTGTTATAGGTAATTGACAGTGTTTACTCTCAAGCTCAGATCTGGCTGTATGCTGAATTGTGGGTTAAAACCAGATCATGTGTGGTATTCTGATCTGCTACCATGATATGCGTTGAATGCTCAGTGATCTTTGTGCTCCTCTCAAAGGCGCTGACATGTGTGAAGGGAAGCAAATGTGAAGGGGCATCCATCCAGAAATCATGACATTTTCGATAAAGCAACCCTGTAGTGACTGAGAAGAGACTGAAACATTTCAAATATCTTCTTGGCACCTCCTATCATTTAGAACAATTCAAAGGGATGCTCTTCAAACAGGCTGACTTTGTCTTAACATTTTTTACTAATGTCATTTTAAAATTCCCCAATTTGAGGAATCACAAAGAGGTCACACTGTACTGAGGGATGAGGGGGAAAAAGAGAAATGCTTCTGTTTTAGTCTAATTTCCCATTCTGTAGTTGAATTAAAGACCAGGTCACTGACTATATCTAATTCAGCAGTTCATACTTTTACAAACGCTGCTATCTGAAAAGGGTGTAATATTCGGCTCTTGTGCCGTTCCATTACTGCCATACCCTCTTCTTCAAACAGTGTGCAAGCCAGTCCATCTGTTTTCTAATTGCTGAGCTATGATGACACCAAGTGGACAAAGTAGGTAACATCAGCTGTGTGTCATCGGGTCTTGAGTTCTGTTTTTAGACCTTCTTCACACAGTCACAAAGGGAAAAAGTGCATTTTTTTCATTTTTTGTCATCCATCTATTCATGTCTGCAATGTAATTCACAACCAATGAGACGTTTTGGCCAGTTGTTTATTTTTCTGAGCTGTTTTTCTGGCCCAGTCTGCAGGATGTGACAGAGCTGGATTAAACAGCTCTTCCCTCAACATCTGGGTGCAAGATGCCCAACCAGATGAGACGTGTCTTCATTCCTGTCACCTAGTCATCCAATTTATTTTTTCTGCACATGCATTCCTTTCCACTTTCTACTACAATCCTCTACATTCTTCTCACTGCTTCTTTTCCAATGCTTCTGTCCTCCTTTGGCAGCAGCCTGTCCAAATTTGCTTTTATCTACATGCAGAATGCGGTCCTACAATGAAGCAGATAAAGTCAAATAAAGTATCTGCTGCTCACCATTACACAGGAGTGGCATGAACAGCATATAATCTAATCATTATTAAAAGGGGATATTTTTTAAATGTAAAATAAATGTAATTTACTTTCACAGAAATCCAATTAGTTTATTTTTTCAGCAATGTTAGTTGTTTTAAACACCGACAGCTGTTTAAATAACATCAAAACAGTGCACAGTAGGACTTTAAAGACCAAGCCACTGACATTCTTCCGGGATCTGTTTTAGTTTGTTGTTCTCTCAGACCTTTATCCCTTGTTCCTGACAAACCAGCTCCTCCTGGATCACAGTCCAGACATTTCCTGTCCCCCGGGGATTCAGGGCCGCATCTCATCTGTATGTGACTGTAGGTGTATTACAATAGTGATGTGCACTCAATCCTCAGGGATTAGGTTAACAGATGAATGAGAGAGTCTGGAGTCTGGAGTCCCCTCCCCTTCATTCCTGTCTACATTTCATTACGACAGGAATCTTAAATCATATGAAAGCTTCAGGGACCAGTCCAACAGGAGGGGATGAGAGGGGATCTGGACATGATCAGAGGAAATGCTTTGTATGTCAGAAAAAATGAATGTAACTGAGGCTGTCCTTGTCATCACTCATCCTCAGGTCTGGAAGATACATTACCCCCAGTACTTTAGATGTTAAACTAGTTCTCTTTTCCATCATGGTAACACTTCATATTTATGGATCCGTAATAATTTCCCAATACTTTCCTCAGAACTTTCCTGGAAAAATATTACAGAGAAAGCAGAGACAGACGCAAATATGAAATTTCTGTACAAGCAAACATCTATATCAACATTCAACATCTATAATGTTTTCAATTATCAAAAATAATGAATGAACAGTTTCTCGGATTTGCTGTTTCAAGGAAATTCCTAATTTCCTCATAACTAGTACAATACTACTAAGTCCTTTCCAGCAAATTATTGGGAAATTATTACAAAATAATGGTCCCATAAAACAAAGCGTTGCCCATATTATTTCTCAATTTTCTTAGAAATATGCTTTTGTCATGTTTTTTGTCAAGCTCAGTTTATAATGCATTTAATACAGTGGTATAAAGTTATCAAGAGTTTAACATGGTGATGACAGAGTACTCATGCCAGAGTAATTTTGCGCACAAAATTGAATGTAATGCCAGAACTGAATTAGCAGTGGTTATAATATGTATCTGTAACAATCACCACTAATAGAAAACTTATGCTTACTCTCTCTGAATGTTTGAAACCTAAACTATTGTTTCACCACACTGAACCATGTGGAACTATTTGCATCTTTTGCAATGTTAAGTGTTCTTTATCAGTCAAGCCAGGGGCAGAAAGAATGTGTACAGTTCCTGGTCCATTTCACACATATGTTGCACACACATGTTTACAGTACTCCACCACAGTCTCTCCAAGAGTCCTGGGCCCCTTGCTTGGGGAGCAGCAGCCCAGAGAAAAAAAAAGAGAGAAAGGCAGAGATAGTGAGCGAATACGAGGAGTCTGATCAGCAGCCAGTATTGGCACTAGCTGCTCCCCTCCCCAGCCGGACCTCAAGCATGTGGGCCCTTGGCGGGTGGATAGACAGGCGGTTCTGGGACTTCGAGGAGGAAGAGCGGCCAGCTGGAGCGGTAACAGAGTGGTATTGTGAGCTGACTGACTGACTGACTGACGCCTCAGTGAAGCAGAGATGCAGGCTGCCCGGGTGGCCTCTTTCTGGGCCCCACAGGGCCCCTCAGTGCTGATGCACTGCTGGAAGTGGGTCAGACAGACACAAGAGCACAGTGGAGAGCAATTGGAGAGTGTATGCTCAGTAGAGATCCAAGACAAAGAGGCATCTAAACAGTGAAGCTTGTGTGATCGTGGTTGACGAGAACAGAGAAAGGTTGCATCTGTTTAATGTAAACCGTTGCTTAAATTATAAACAAAAATGCCACTTTCTCTTTCAGGAGCAGTAGTTTCTGTAGAAAATGAATCAGAATGCACGAATTCAGGCTCTGTTACCTTTTATTTTTGAATCCTAGATGAGCAGCAGCAAAGGACAGCAAAACAATGTGTTTCGCACCTGCCATACACAAAGCAATGATTATCATCATGAGGATTTGGACTGTTTATGACAGGATGTAAAGGCCTCTTTGAAACAAAATGTTCAAAGCACAAGCTGTAGCCCGTCTTGCCAGAGGGAGGCAGTGTTCTCATTCAACGCACATTAACATTCTTCACAGCATCCATTTTGCCTCCAATTCTCTGCAGCTCTTAAGCTGCAAAATGATCGCCAGCCATAGAAGCAGAGAGCAGCAAGTTATCTTGTTATTGATGTGGGCACGTTGAAGAGAAAGGGGTTTGCCACATTCTGGCAGACAAGAGGCCGGAGCACAACACAATGAAAAAAAAGAGAAAGATCTGAGGAAGTCAGAGGAATGTGAGGAATGGTAAAAACCTCCTTCAGAGGATGGACAAAGCTGTGGCTGTGTCACACTTTAACCTGAAACATGCTTGGAAATGCCATAAAGTTATTTTTATGAGTGTTTCAGGGCATTGTGGCCACACACAGCAGAAGAGTGATTGTAGTAGAAGTGTTAAAATCCTCAAACCTGCTCACAATGCAGCATGAATGATGTTTCAAATACGTCAACCCCTCCTACACTTGGCAATTATGATCCCATGAAAAAAAGAGAATGAATAGCTTTTGTGTCAGATTGTGGCTTTAAGTCACATCCAAACATTTCTTAAAGCACACACGACATGTCAAAGCAGATTTTACACAGAGAATAGTTTCAGGAAAATCACATTCCAGAGTGCAGCAACATGTGTGTATCGAGGATAAACTGACTGCGTGGTTACACTTTACATCTGTCCTGGCGCCCTGTCGGAGCATCATCTGGTTACTTATTTTGCTTGCTCTGAAACTGAACATGCTTTGTATTTGTCCTCCCACACACAGCCGCAGCAGGGAATCCAGTAAGTTAAAATCAAGCAGAGCTTAAAGAATAAAAACTTCTTTCAGTCAGGAACTAATGACAGCGGGAAATGAATGAATGAATGAATGAATGAATGAATGAATGAATGAATGAATGAATGAATGAATGAAGGATGCAACATGAGATGTGGATTTGAGACAAAACAGACCACACCATCACACGCTTGGTGTTGGTAAATACTTTATATGCAATTGTTTCTTGATCTTTGCAAACACTGTATAGAAAACACTTATGTAACATTTTTTCGAACATTTAAAGCGCGTCTGAGCTTTCAGACAGACATGACACAGTAATCTACAGCTTTATAAACCCCCCCCCCCCCATCCTGTCCATACACACCCCTCACCACACTTCTCACCACATACAATCCCTTCCAAACACACACACACACACACACACACACACACACACACACACACACACACACACACACACACACACACACACACACACACACACACACACACACACACACACACACACTTACACACACATGCTCACACAGCCACGGCTATCAGGCTCTCCACTTATTATTCACAGTAGGCTTTATAACATAACACTGTTTCTGTATCATATGATGTTCTCAACTTTTTTTTTTTATTATTTAAAATAGCTATCAACATTTATGCTGTAATATTTGGAAAGTGATACATTTGTATTTACATAAGCTTATTGAGCGAGATTCAAATACAATGTGTGTGTACATATGTATAGTCGTATGTAGGTGCGTATATGTGAGAGTGTGTGCTGATCAGAGCCATCTGATCATTCTGTTTGAGTCACTGACCAAAGACCTTTTCCACTGACAGCGTCCAATCTGTTCAACACAGTCTAGTTAGAAAAGAAGAAAGTAACGTGGAGCTCTGGTGAGTTTTTTTACCCACAATGATGCCTCAGTCGCTCGGTGAGGCAATGCAGGGCAGCAGAGCTAACTCGTCACCGGCTCGCTCCCGTACAGCTGTCTGTGAGAGCATGAGGGGATTATCGGAGACTGAAGTGACTAGAGATGGTGTGAGATGCTCACAGCACGTCGGACTCATCGTACATTCAGCAGAGGCCAGGAGGTGCCAGTCGTTTTCTTGGACGGCTGTGATTTAAGGGTCCTACAACCTCAGTGACTGGCACATTCAGACTCTCATACTCATGCTTTCATTTCATACGAGATTAAAGTAAGAAAACGTGGCAAATGGTCACAGTACCATGTCTGATTTTAAAACACCTCCCTTAAGCATCAAAAATGGATGCTTCCGGGGCGATGAGAAGTATTCCCTCCCTCTAATCTTCCTTTTCTCTTTCACACACAGAGATGCAAGCACTCACGTGTACATTCATATATACAAAGTACAGAAGTAAGCAATTACACCTACACACACACACACACACAGGCACACACACACACACACACACACACACACACACACACACACACACACACACACACACACACTCTGGGACCTAGGTGAGAGACCAAACTAATGTGAGAGGAAAGTGAGGCACATAATCTGACAGGCAAAATCCAGCCTGAATTTTGGTATACTCAAAACAGAAGTCAGATGTGGATGATTAAGGTGTCTGAGACAGGCCCAGGCTTTCAGCCTAGAGAGAATTTCTAAAATGTAACATCATTTAGCACCTTTATTCTCCCAGGTGCCTTTAACATACTCAGGATCTTTAAGTACCTATTAAACAGAGACAGAGGTAGAAGCTCTAGCTCCATCGTCCACATGAGTAACAGCCATGCCGGCAAAGAATTTTGGGGTTGGACTAAGGTACTGTAGTGATGATATGAGTAGTGCTTAAAGGCTGGGCTTTTCTTTCACATCCTCATTTGCTATTATCAAGGTCGAAGGCATTGTAACAGAGATCCACATAATTAAACATTTAAAGAATTTATGTGCTCCAACAGTCTCATAAACTCTGGGCTGGAATCCAAAATAGGTCACAGGCCTATTTCTGCTGGGTCCCTACATGGCAAGAGTAGCAATAGATTTTCATAAGCTGGGGTCAGAAGAACAGGGACTAAACTTTGTTGTTTCTTAGATGAAAAAGCTTAAGAACCACAAACAGTGTTTCTGCTCGGTGCAGGAGTAACAGTGGTTGAAAATGGAAATGTTGAGTCAATCTCTTGAGGGTGTTTACAGAGGTGCTTAAAAGGCCCGTGTGGGTCTTTCAGGGCCATTTACTCAAAGTGGCAGCACTTTGCTATCCCTGTATATAAGTGTAGGTCTTTTCCATCTACCATCCCTTTACAGTATTTAAAAGTTACTTCATTATCCTGGGTGTGTTGGTTCACAGGGTCAGTTAATTTTGTTCCAAATTGATAACAGAAAAGAGAGATTGTAGGGGAGAATGAGAGAAAGCAGGTAATCTGTCCATCCTTCCAGCCATCCCTCGCTTTGTTAGGATGGGGATCAGGAGCTTAGGTGAGTGTCAGTTCAACCGTCATCTGGGGTTGAGTCTTCAGGGGTGGATGAGTCCTCTGCAAAGTCGTCCGATGAGCCACTCTTGTGGATGCGGCCGTCGCTGCGCATGCTGTGGAAAGTCTTGCGGAATGCCTCCATCATCGAGTGTGCCAGCTTCTTGGCTTCCAGCTTGCTCTCACACTCCACTGCGTGGCAGTCCATCTGGAAGGACAGGTCATCATTGATCTCCCTGTAGATCCAGGCAAATACGTTGGGTCTGATGCTATGGTCAGCTGTGCAGTAGGCGATCCGCGCCACCTGGTAGGTGTCCATGGTTACTGAGGCCTCGCCGTGCTCGTCCAGGTGGTGAAGGCGCACCTGGAAGGGCCGAATCTCTAGCAGAGAGTTGCCTGGAGGGTAGGTGCCCTGCTGCTGGGCACGACGTTCCACTAGACCTACCACTGCTGACTCTGTGCAACCAGACAGGAACTGGGTCCCAGAGATAGTCACCTTACCCAGGTAGGTCACCTGCAGGAAAGGAGACGCACACATATACTATTAGACTCATCTTCTCCACTGCTTGATGTGTAACAATTGTAAATATGCAGTTGGATAAAATACATCACAGCAGTTTGAAAAGCAGTTTTTCACCAGATGTGCAGAAGCTGCAAATAGAAAAACAACAGGGGTGCCATATATATATATATATACACACACATATACATATATATATATATATACACACACACACATATATATGATGTATCTGTTTAAAAATAGTACAAACAATAAATGCAATAATAAGACACAAGTACAATAACATGCTGTGAAAAAGTAGGTAGAAAACACAAAATGGAGAACATGAAGAGATAAAACCAAATGAAACATATTCACCCAGGCTTTCTTGGACAAGAGAGTATTAAGAAGTGATTTTAAAGATGTTACAGACGTAGCCTGTGTAATCTCAACAGGCAAAGTATTCCAAACTCTGGGGGCTTTAACTGCTAACCCCTGGTCAACTTCTGGCACTAGGCTAGACCTGGGAATAACCAGTAGACCCTATTGATCTAAGGGATGCACAGGCATGTAAGGGGTCAGCAAATCAATGACATATTTTGGTACAAGACCATTTAATGGCTTAGAAGTCAGGAGTAAAATTTAATGAATCAATGTAGAATCTATCAGAGTCAATGCAAGTTGTCCAGGACAGGGATGATACATTTAAATTTCTTGGTGCCAGTAAATATTCAGAGCTGCAGCATTCTGCACCTATTGGACCTGTTTGAGGGAAAGCTGACTGATACCACTATAAAGTACCGATTTATCATCATGAAATATGATGTCATTAAGACAGACAAGAAGATGGCTTGACTGCTAGACTTGTTGGATAGCAGTGGAATGAATAACTGCATGTCATCTGCATAGCAATGGAAGGAGACATCATGGTTTTGTATGATGATGGGAAGTAAATAAATTGAAAACAACAGTGGGACAAGAATAGACCCCTGGGGAACGCCACATTTAGGTAAAAATGTTAGGAGTGTGTTTAGTGATATTTAAGTGTACAGAAGGGACCAAAAGTCAGAGATCACTTTCCCAATGGGAAAAAGCGTTCACCCATTAACCTTGGACAGTTCTACAAAGAACTGATGTCTGCATGGTCAAGTTTAAAATCAGGATACCACAGGTCCCTTGTTTTCAGAGACCAACCTACTAATTAACTGTTCAGGAGTGGATGTTCAGTGTCAACTCATAAGATGGGGCAAAAACATTAACTGTGAAAAACAAGTGGACTGCATCCATTTCCATTTCATATCACCTCAGGCAGTTTTTAATATTAAAAACATTACTACATGACAAGTACTGGGAGCTAATCACTGTGGAGCAAATTAAAAAATAATGTTTGACTGAACTAATAAATTTGATGTTCAGTGTACATCTTTAGGCCAATTAACCTCAAAAACTGGGGTGCTTAAGTCGCTGTATAGAGAAAGATGTTTTAAGAATCAACAATGGTGATGAGAGGCTTTTCTAATTCACTGTGGTAACTTTGCTGACATGCTGAAGGCTGTGTATGTGTGTTATTTCCCAAAGAGAAGCTGTGGTTGCAACAAGGACCATAGAATACCATAGTAATGACACTGCATACCAGGAGCGCGATAGACTGAGGAGATGGAGAGGGATAAGGGGAGAGAGAGAGCTAAGAAGTGAACAAAGCTGGAGTTTTCTATGGGAATGTGGCCAATTCGAGAGCGTTCCAGGAATAATGGCTGACTTGTGCGCTTTCTCTACATGGTGTGCTTTATGGCTTTATAAAAATACACAGAGGAGGAGCCTGCTACGAGTCAAACACTCAAAGAGTTTTCACTCCTGTCTGTGTTTATACTGAGGCAGGGGAATACGCTACACTCTCAAGAGTTCATTACAGCTGGCTTACATACAGCACACATTTGACACACGGCTGCAGATAACATGAGTCAAATGATAAGTGTGAATATTAAAGAAAAGATGTGTATCATATAACAGTCTGCAACATTTACAGAAGATGTGGCCTACATTCATGGCTCAATGCACATCTGCCAAATATCAAGCCCGTCTGTGGTCTCGATAACACAATTCCCTTAAGAAATTTAAGTGAACTATTATCTGTAATTCTTTTCATTTCTTATGTTTTATTATGCTTATAACAGGAAAAAAGCCCACCCAGCACATCAACAGATACCAATGCATAAAGCATGACTGACTGACATAAAGCACCAGAAAGTGATACACAGCAGAGGCCTGGGTCCTGTTTTATTCATCACATGATGTGACTGTTTCTCTTCTTTCACAAATTTTGATTAGTGTGCAACCGTCAAGTCTACCCGCCCTCATTCTCTGCTATGATTTTGACTGAATAAGATCTTTGAGAGTAAGCATGTAGAACAGTCAACCAGTCGCCAGTCTCTCAGTTAGACAGACAATTAGTCTTATGTAGGACAGGTGTAGCATTTACCATAAAGGTACAAAAAGGAAACTAGAATTACGCCATGTGGTTGTATGCCTCTGCCAACCACTCCAGTTGCAGTTTACATGCATGTTTGTGTCTTTTTTTTGGCAAAATGGAACTCACTACTATATCACTATATAGATATGTATGATTCCACAGGATACCTGAAGCTCAATATGAGCAAAACCAATGAGCTTGTGAGAGGAAGTGAAGTCAAATCAATAACAAACTGAACTGGACTCACAACACTGACACCTTCAAAAGGAAGGGACGGATCAAGGCATTCCTGAGATACTGAGGCTGAAAACGTGTTTTGTGAGGTCACAGTGACCTTAACCTTTGACCACCAAAATCTAATCAGTTCATCCTTGAGTCCAAGCGAACATTTGTGCCAAATTTGAGAAAATTACCTGAAAGCCTTACTGAGGTATTGCATTCGCAAGAATGGGACAGACAGACCACCCGAAAACATAATGCCTCCAGACATGGCTGTTGTGAGGCATAAACACCCTTAATTATACACAAACACATATATGAAAGGATTGAAAGAATCTTTAAAAAGAAAAAGAAGGAAATGAAACAACAACTGCAATGCCAACATCAGAGATATGTCTCCACTCTGGGCAGACATTTCCTCTGACAGAATGCAGTGGTAAAATCAATTCTCAAAATTTTGTAAACTCAACCAACGGTAACAAAATATTTCGTGTGAAAATCAGTTGAATGAACATATGTAGCTTATTTTCCCCAACCGATGTCAAAACCACAACAAGAGTGATTTGTGGTGAACATTATCCACATATACACAAACAAGAGGATCCTACCACTCGGCTGGATTGGCCCCCGAAATACCCTGATTGCAGCGCAACACAACATTGATTTCACAGTTTCCTATAGGCAACCATAAGAGATCCAGGCAGTGAAAGCAGCTGCCTCCTCATGCATGGTTTTCATTAGCAGTGACCACAGGGTGGGACATGCAGCCTTTGCACTGGATCCATCATTCAGCTGACTACCACAGGTCTGCAGGGGCAGCCTGGAGGCTGGGCTGGGCGGTTTGCTAGTCAACCACACTGACACCCTCTTGCAGCCAAAAGGCGGTCAGTCACTCAGCCGGCCAACAAATCCAAAGACTGAGCCAAGATACATCAACCATCCAGTGTGCTGTTTGTATGTCAAACAGCAATAAAGAGTCATTATGGGCTGCTTTTCTCTGATGCTCCTATTTTGATATTGAGTTACTTGTTTAAACTGTGATCATTTCCACTGATTGCTTGCTTCCTAGCTGAATGAAGGCTGACTGCTTTGCCAGGTTTGATTGTCTTACAGAAACTGGGAGTAGGCCAGTGTTTACGCTCAATCTATACATCTCTGCTTTACTGTCTCTGTTCTGTGGAAGTAGGAAGTGATGTAGGTAATGTGCCTGGATAAATAATTTTTCTCAAGTAACTTGTACCAGGCATGCAGAGATGAATACAAATGAAATACACTAGTATAAGAGTGTGTTTGTGTGTGTGTGTGTTTGTGTGTGTGTGTGTGTGTGTGTGTGTGTGTGTGTGTGTGTGTGTGTGTGTGTGTGTGTGCGTGCGTGTGCGTGCGTGTGTGTGTATGGTTGAGAGAAAAGTAAGTGAGTGTGTGTGTATGTGTGAGGTGAGGAGGTCACTAGACAGAGCAAACATTAAACTTTGTGTTTTTGAATCCAAACATGCAGCAGCTGAAGAGGAAATTGTTACACTGCTTGAGCAGAAAGATGAGGGATAGATAGAAATGGAGAAAAAATACAGCTTATAAGGCCGTGTTCATAAAAAACAAATACACCACTAAAGCATTGGATACGCCTGATTTCTTTTTGGTTTTGCAGTGCATGAATCACCTATTTCACCCGTACAGACTTTTCCTTCAGGCCTAAGACGACACTGAGCCCATTTACACCTGGTATTAAAATGTGGTCTGTCGGTAAATTTAGCATCGTTAGAAGGATAGTTGAGTGTTTGTACATTCATGTGCACTAAATGTGAAACTCAATGTGGAGTTTATTAAGTTTGCCTTCCAATAAATAGTGATGGGTAGACAAAATTTTTTTTATTATTGGGTTAGAACTGAAACTACAATTACCACATTTATGCCTCCACCAACTGCATTGAATAACAGCCAGAAATGTTTTTGCAGAACATCATGATGTCACATTGAAGTTGACCTTTGACCTTTTGGGTATAAAATGTAGACACTTCATCATTTTATCCTTTTAGATTTTTTTTTTTTTTTTTTTTAAATTGTGTTATAATTAGCTTTTGAATTAGTGAGTTATGGCCAACAATATGTTTTGTGAGGTCACCGTGTACTTGACCTTTGACCACCAAAATCTAATCAGTTCATTCTTAAGTCCAAGTGACTGTACCAAATTTAAAGAAATTGCTTTGAATCAGACGTACAGACAGACAACCCGAAAACATAATGCTTCCAGCTGTGGATGTCGCTGGCGCAGAGGCGTAACAAAACATCATCACAGCCCCAGATGTAGAGTACATGGTCTGAGTCT